CTTATGGTCGTTTTAGTTTCCCCTTAGCGATACTACTTTCTCCTTAAGGTACTGTTTTTAACCCTCTTCATTGTTTTAGTTTCCCCTATGGATACTTCTAAGCTTCCTTCCTATATATATTATATATATATATGCTGTCTCTTATACACATCTAGATGTGTATAAGAGACAGTATATATATATAAAGCCTTGTTCAGACTGTCAAAGTTTTGTTTGACAAGAACATGTAATGTGCCTATGGTCATGGTCACTGGCTACAAGATTTTGCTTTTCACTTAAAAATCTACTCATAAACTTGCCCCTTTCTACGTTTCGAACCTTATTCATTTAACGCTGGCAGGCTTGCTCTAACTTAAAATTATGAATGTTTATTATACTGTTTTTGAATGTTTTATAGTGATTTTTTATTTTATATTATATTTATGCTCCCTGCTATTGGCTTTTACGCTGTTGGGTAAATGAAATAAAATATAAAATATATAAATAAAGGGAAGATGCAGAGTAAAGCTTTCTATTAAAAATATGTACAGCAATATGATTATGTATTATGTCGACTTTATTGGTAAAATGTTCACAACCTGTTTAAGTTTGGTAGTAGTAGAAGGTCTACCATCACAATTGGTACTGAAATTACACAGAGTACTGTATATGGAGGTTACTGATATCTACAACGAAAGTACCTCGCGCGAATAAGCACCCAGTTTGAATAAAGCTCCCCGTTTGAATAAGCGTTCCCCCCCCAATAATCCAATTAATCCTGGGACTGTGGGTGTTGGGTGTTTTGAGGTGTGGAATGGAATCACATTCCCTATAGAAAATATCAAAATGAGGATATTTGGATATTTATCTTGGACAGATGAGAGCTCCCTGGACAGACAGTATATTTCCAACCTCCATCTTCTTGTATTTGTCTATAGCCTAGTCCTACTCCTTTTCCGACAATTTGCACCTTTTACACATTCTCATCTGAGTTTTCAAGAAAACCTGCAATGATCATGCCATCCTGCTAATCTCAATCGGCAGATGGCCAACAAGCTAACCACCACCACTAATTTCATCTGCTATTCTACTGTTATGTAATACTGTACTCACAACATTCTTATCATGACAAGCCATGCTCTCTGGACGATTATCTTTTCCGCCGCACCACCATTCGTAATTTGTGGTTTCCTGATGTCCTTTATATAATCGTTTTTCATTCAAACTGTGCCTTTTAAATTTAATAAGTTCTTATAAGACCCCTCGATTTTCTTCTATTTCCATAAGCGCCCCCTCAATTTCCACTCTGTTTTGATAAGCGCCCCGTTCGAATAAGTGCCCCGTTTGAATAAGCGCCCCTCAAAAAGTGCAAAAAATATTTTAAGTGCCCAGGAGCTTATTCGCACGAGTACGGTATTCAACGTTCCTCAGTTTTTGCGTAAAACAACTTTTCCTATCTTTGAAAAATAAGGTCTACTACAACATATCAACAAAATTGTTTCCTCCTCAGCCTGACTTTAAGAAAGGTGATAAGAGTTCACCTTTACATTACAGACCCATAAGCTTGACTTCCATTTTGTTTGAAAGTACTGAAAAATTTATTCAAGATGATATTTATATAGGCATTTGGAAAATATTAGTTTAAAAGACCAACAACATGGTTTTCGTAGTGGGTGTTCTTGTGTTACGCAACTTATTGAAGTGACTATCCAATGGACATTGTGGCTTGATCAAGGTAGATACCATTTGACTGTGTGTACTGTACAGTACCGTTCATAAATGCTGCACGTTTTAGACGCATCGGACGCATCCTGAATTCGTCCACGATGCGTCCTGAATACGTCCGAAATCTGGACGCGTCTAACGCTAATAGGGTAGACGCGAGTGCGTCTAAATAACAATGTTTAGACGGTGTAGGCCTTGAACGGACGCGTCATGGACGCAAACAGGACGAAAACTGGATGCGTCTGTTGCGTCTAAAAATTTGCATTTTTTATGGACGGTACTGTACAGTACTTCGATTTTCAGAAGGCCTTTGACAAGATACCTCATAGTAAATTAATTTCCAAGTTGGAATCTTATGGCATTTCTGGTAATCTTTCATGGATTAGGGCTTTTCTGAGCTATAGAGGACAGAGAGTTGTAAATGGTTGTAAGTCAGGGTTGCGTAAAGTAACAAGCGGGGTTACCCAAAGTAGTGTTCAGGGGCCTCTGTTATTTGTCATTTTCATAAATGATGTGTAAGAGAGTATTTCTGATTCTTTAGTAAGGTTATTCGCCGATGTAACAAACATCTTTCGTACGGTAAGACAGATGCTGATAGAGTTTCTCTTCAAACAGATATTGATGCTCTTTACAGTACCAATGGTCTCTTCAGTGGCAGCTGCCATTTAATTTGAATAAATGCAAAGTGATGCATTTTGGATTTAATAATGCACTATTTAATTATATATTGGTGATGGAAATTCTAGAGTAGAATGAAATGGGTGGAACTCCTTCCTCAAGAAGTTGTTTGCACTTCATCAGTACTTCAGGGTATAATTCTTTGCAGACCTAACGCAAAATCTAACAAAACATAACCAACAAATTTTCCCAATGTGCAATGTTAAAACAACATTTTTAAGGATTTGATGATAGTTTCTGCATGAGAAATGCCTGAAATCATAAACTTTGAAGGCTGATTTCTCATATATAGTTCTTTAAACAGTTGTGTGTTTAAACGCTTGTAACTTCATAAGGAAATGTCCGATTTGAATGATTTTTTACCATTTTATAGCTATTATTTTACTCTCTAACACTGTATTGATAACTCAAAATCGTTTTTTGCGACGAGTGACTGGTTTGGCTTGTCTTTGCCACATTTATTATATTTTATTCATTAGGCACACAAAACATCCACCATATTGGAACGGATTTCATTCATTCATTTCGTTGCCATTACCGTTGTTGACGAATTTTATTCACGTTGATCACGGGTGCACTGAAAAGCAGCATTTAGCCTGAGACTAGGTCATATGGTCAGCGGCCCTAGCCTATTATAGCCTAGGACCTAGCCTAGCCTATAGGCTATGCCTAGCTAGTATATTAGGCCCGCGGAAAAGCAAGAGCCAGGCATAGACCTACCGCTCCCGAAGACTGTATACCCATTCTAGTATAACTTAAAGATACCAGCTAACATGAGTACTTACCAGAAAATAAATCACGTATTAGTAAATATACTGCCTGCACTTAGTAATCAAAACTACGATTATGAATATGACGATATCTTCCAACAATTCAACGTAACTCCGAACTCAAGGTGTTCAACACACGAGTGTTGCGTTTACGCACGCCCAGTAAATATTATAGAGGGCGCGATTCAGTAAATTACTACAAAGGGCGCTATACTGATTAATTGGATGTTTAAATCAAAACAGAAAGAACAGATAATACCGTTATTATGAATGGCAAAAGAGAGCACATCCAAATTCTCATTGATACATTGTACAACTTCTAAAGACAAATCATGAACTTACAAACCGTCCTATGATAACATGATTAAAAATAAAAAGCAGCCTAACACTTTGCTAAAATTGAAAGCATGCACAACTACTCCTTCAAACAGAGGCAGAAAACAATCATGGTCGGCGAAAATTTGGTAGAATTGATCAAGTTAACCTATTGGTGACCAAACCATAACTCTGATGGGAAAGAATTCTGGAGTTTATGAATACTGCAAACTAAACCAGTTTTTTTTGCAAGACAATAAATGGACACTGAAATTTACAGAACGGTAAGGAGATGGAAAAACGAAAAAATTACGAATAAAGAAAAGATGGATAGATCAGTCTCGGTGTGGCGCGAAAGGGCCCCAGTGCAAGATAATTGCCGGGCTCTTTGATGTCATAGGAGGATTCCCTAGTTCTCTGATTCATCTTAAGAAGTGCTACCCCCTATATACTCCTAAAGGTTAGCGAGGTTGTTTTCGACATCGGTGGGTGGGGACCTGTCGATACAAATACCGATAGCGCAATGCTTTTTCGGGACTGTTTTAGTTTAAGTACCGTAGTTTAAGTCAAAATTATTTCTTGTTTTCTTTATTTGTTTTGTAAAGCGCATTGAAGCTTTGCGGAATGCGCTAAAATAGATATGGAACTATTACTATTATTAGAAATAAATACTATTTATAATTAGATTAGGTATTTTAAGAGGGGCATATTCGGTTTCAGCAGCTGTTAAGCTATTAAAAAGAATTGGTGGCACGTAAAATTAACCAATTGCAGTGGCAGAGATAAGGGAATTCGAATAGAGGGGCCATCAGGAAGGGATTTTCACAGGTGGACGAGGAAGACCACCTCATCCACACCATGGTTGAGGCTGAGGTAAGAAAATTTATGATTATAGCACCTCTAGAAGGGCGGAAATGGCACTTTCAGACTTACAATGAATATAATTTTCTTTTCCCCATATTTAAAAAAAAAATCATATTAGGGGTACGTCGGGCAAGCCGGGGCCCCTGCCTTGAATACACTAATGAACATAGTAGGCCTCAATATTATTATATTAAGGGTTCCGCTGCCGGTTTTTTTTCCCTCCAAATTTAAGTTAAGCAAAAGATAATAATATCTTAATTATTTTTAGGTCTATTTATGAATGGGCCCGCCCTAATAGCCCTGAGTCCCAGTGCTTTGTACTGGCTGCACTTCCCGTACTGGGATGGATGACCTTAAAGATGCCTTCCAGTCAAGCCGAAAAATCAAAAAAGAGCTCCGGAGAAAAATGTTAGTTAAAGAGAGGAAAGAGGAAAAAAGGAGTGCTATTTACCACTTATTTACACCAACCATGGTAGGGCTGAGGTCGGCGTAGCGGCGTGAACTTCAGTTTATGCAAACCCCCCGTCAGAAATTCTCTGGATCCGCCCCTGGTTTGATGTCGAGGAACAAGAAAGCACTAAAAGATACATTATTTTCTCTGCTCTGCCTTTTTTTAAGGGTTTCCCAAAATGAGTAGTTAAATCAAAATATTGCAAGATAAAAGCACTAAAAATACACATAATACACAAAAATAGAACATAAGACTTGGTAAGATAACTTGCATTTAATATCAATAACAAGAATTTGTTAGCCTGCACATAAATATTACATCATTATTTATACCTTTGCATCCGTGTATCTATCAACCATACATAGCATGTGTTTACGACTACTATTAAGTATTTGACAAAAACATGTGACATGCCTAAATAAGGTCACATCATGACCATATATAGGCACATCATGACTATATATGGAAACATCTGAAAACCTTCATACATTGAATTAAAACATTGAAATACAGATCAAAACATTTCAGTTTAAATTGCAGAGCTTTTAACACAAAAACCTTCAATTATTTACAAGTAAATTTAAGCATCTATGCAAAGGGGCATAGGCTAGGCCCTATAATACATGGAATTGTTTATGTACCTATTTGTTTATAAAGGAGCTTTCGCACGATGACGGTAGGACGTAGAATGTAATGACGTCACTAAAAGTCATCTGCGCATGCGAGAACGTTATGCAGAGAAAGTAGGACGCCAGGTAGGACCAGGACGGTCACGCATGAGTGCTCTATCTTGTATTTCTAGTCCAGACCACCACATATTTGACAAAAATGTGACATGCCTAAATATGGTCATGATGACCTCACATCATGAATATTTATAGGCATTTCATGACTATATATGGCATAAAACAGTTTTTTGCCAGATAAAATGAATTTTTTTAATGAAAATAATAATATGCAAATCAATTAGAATACTGAATTTTAGTCTTGAAGTTTTTGAGCTTAACACAGAGAAAATATATTTTATCTTTTGAAAAATAAAATTAAACTTTAATTTATCTGTACCCATTGAAATACAAACAATATTTGTTTCCAACAATAATGTTATAAACTATACTAATTATTAGGTGGACTACCATCCCAGGGCATCTCAATACAATCTAAAACTATTAAAATTCTATTGATTGAATGAGATTTCCATATTTTTCATTTTGATAGACATGATAAACTATTAAAAACCAATATAATTATAACACAGAAATTGGAAGAAAATCCAGATAAATATTAGTATTAAATACATTCCCCAAACAATAAGAATTAAAGATAAGTATATTTGCATATTTAGAAATTGGTAAGATAAAAAAAAGATACACATGAAAAAGAAATAAAGTAAAATTAAGTAAATGAAAGAAAAATCAAAGAAACATAAGAAACAAGGTAATCGAAAGCAAAAACAATAAAGATAAGGAAGTATAAGAAAGAAATCGGAAAGGATAGAAATGGAAAATGTAAGGAAAAAGTAAGGAGGAAGGTACATGACAGAAAACTGAAAGAAAGTAAATATACGGCAAGCTAATAAAATAGCAGAAGGTAGGAAAAAGAAAGTGAAAAATAGAGAAGCAGAACAAAAAAAAAGTGAAAGATAAGATTAAGAAATATATGGTAAGCTAATATTAGAAAAGCAGAGAAGGTAAGTTTATTTGCATTATATTTGCATAATAAATGCAATTAAATGTATCGTTAAATAATATTAGGCTATTGTCTTTTTTTTACTCTAGGGTTTTGGTCAGTTGCAGCTTGTCAACTATTCAGAGAGTCAATGACAACCACTTGTTCTGTTGATTTCAGGACAGTATTTATTATAATGTTATTGCAGATATACTAATAAAACCCAATTAAATTTATACCAGTACTGGTGTATATGGTACAAAAACACCTCAAACTGTGATAGATATGGTGAAAAATACAAAATGGTTCTTTCTCATATTCTTAATGGAAATTCAAGGAAGGATGCCATCTTTGCCTCATTGGTACAACAATAAGACAATCTGAGGGGGTCACTTTTCTCCATAAATACTTATAGATTAAACCCAATATTTTTAATCAATATGAAATGTATGAATGTGCCTAAAATTAAAACTTAAAGATAGGGCAGCTTAGCTCAGTCGGCTAAACTGGTGGTAGCCACAGTGTGTGGGATGAATGGAGATCTATAGGTCTCTGGTTCAATTCCCATCGCTGCTCTCAACTGGAGGGCTGAAATAATTCAAGTTATGATAGCGCACCATCTTTCAGATAAGACGTTTAACCCATTGGTCACGTGTGGATTATGGCCTGTGTGCACGTTAAAGAACGAGGTACACTTTTTGGAAAAGCGTAGGCGATTGTCTCTCACTGTACTGCCTAATCATCACCAGAACCCCATTGAAAATAAGTTATTGTTAGACTTATGTGGGTTATCCTTGGTGTTTACCCTGAAAATAAATCCATTTATCCAATGGTTCTGTATTTTATATAGCGCCTTCAAATATCCTTCAAATTAATAATAGTAACAGTATAGTAGCAGTAGCAGTAGTAGTAGTAGCAGTAGCAGTAGTAGTAGTAGTAGTAGCAATAGCAGTGTTTGCAGTAGCAGTAGTAGCAGTAGCAGTAGTAGTAGTAGCAATAGCAGTGTTTGCAGTAGCAGTATGTAGCATCACCTTTACTTTAACATCAACTAGCAGTTTGTATTATTGCACTGTATGAGGCCCAAACATTCACATTACCCACAATTCCACTAATAATAATACATCACAAACTTACCCCGGTATTCTTAAAACAAACTTCAAATTTACGACATTTCATATAATTAAAATGAACTTGGACTACAACTAAATAACTTGCTTGTTGTTGTGGTGACAGTGAATCTACAGGCCTAATATATCATACATGATAGAAACAATCAAAATTAGCTTTCAAAAAATGACATTACCATGCTTAGCTTGCCATCACCACAAAAACAAAGACCGTGTTGCTGTCAGTTCAATTTTTCTAGTGCTTCAGAGAAAGCAACATTTAAATAACGTACTTCTTTAGTGTTACATAGTAACTATTAGTATAGTTATTTTTATGAAAACAAATATTTTTAAACAACTTTAGTTAGTTTGATCTTCATTTAAGCCTGGTTCTCATGAGAGCCCTAGTATCCGGATCAGGAGCTAACCGTTAGCGGTATCAGGATGAGCGTATTTCTATCATCATCCAATCACACGTACGCGTTTACAATTTCCAGTGTCTTATTGGCCAGTGATTCGATCACCATATTCTTGGTATCCGGATCGGGATCTTAGTTGTATGGATGCACGGCAGCTAACGGTTAGCAGGATCCGGATCCTGCTAACCGTTAGCTGCCGTGTGAGAACACAGCCAATGTCTTAAGACTCAAACTACATTTGTTTATGGACACAAATTTTGTATTCATAAACTTAAATCATAAATTTAATAGCAGTTGAATTTGCAACTGGGACTAGTTAAAGTTGGTCTTCAATTACAGTTCGTTCTAAAAATACAAAAAATTGAACCCATATTTATGTCACCAGTGCATTTGTGCAATATATAGCATTGCCATACGTTACCTACCGGACTGTCTAAAAACGGACCCTCACTGTGCCTGACGGTCGTTGGCCGACGCGATTCTAAGAAAAACGCATCAGCACGATGCACATGCCACAGACCGTTTTTATTGATGATCTGTTTAGACCAGTTTAGACTGCCACCAACAATTAGCAGATGGTTTTCCTCACTTTCGCAAGTAAGCAAGTACCTCCCAGATGCTCACCTACTTTCAAAATTCATGATGTTTGCATAGACTGGTACAGTGTTTTAACATTTGTAAAACACTATGTTTCAAAGCTACCTGTATACTTCCAGTTATAGCCTTTTTCAAAATTATAAATAATTTCATTTTATTGCTTATATAATATGAAAATAAAGTTTATGAATTGAGCTTAGCAGAACCTTGCTTTAACCAGGGTTTAACACTTGAAAGTGAAAGTTACATTTAATCCTTTACTGCCCAGGTCAGCACGATTAACCGCTGAATTTAACGGGATACGGTTGGCGTTTTTCGCTCGAACAGGCCCTAAATTGTAACGCAGTGAGCTTAATAAACATTTGAATGTTAGTCGGACAATTGGGTCTTTCAACTGGAGTTGGATTCGTCGGCCAATGGTTGTACGACAGTCATATAACGCAGTGAGCTTAATAAACATTTGAATATTAGTCGGACAATTGGGTCTTTCAACTGGAGTTTGATTCATCGGCCAATGGTTGTACGACTGTCATAAGGCGCAGTCTTATTAACATTTGAATGTTATTCGGACAATTGGGTCTTTCAATTTGCTACTTAACCATAAACATACTCTAATATGTTAAGCACTGATGGCAGAAACACAGTCTATGCAAATTTATTATCAAATTTAATTTCTAAAAAAGATGTTCTTTCAAATCATCCTGAAAAATTTTTGGATAAAATTGTTAAAATATTTAGTCATTAACCTACTATCACAATATTTATATCTTTATCAACACTTTTTATCTCAAGTAGACCTGCTTTTAAATAGTTGGACACAAATATATTATTATTATACAATTCCATTTGATTATAAGCAATCAACTTAATTTAAGCATTGCATTTTCATTTATAGAAAACAGCATCAATATTTTTTATTTTTGGAAATTGGATTCTGAATAGTGTTGAAACTGTTGAGCATTTTTATTTTGTTCCTCCATCATTTCTATAAGTCGTATCTCTTTCTGTTCCTTTCTTTCATTACGTTCTTGATAGTTACGCCTAAAAAAAAAAAATTTTGCACATTGAAAATTTACTTATTAGACAACAATTTCATATTGGTCCAATTTCCTAAACCTTGTTTCAATAAAATCGTTACAATGTCGCTACAGTAATTGCTATGTAACTGTAACCGACGCAACCTTGAAACCTCCCCGATACATTGCCAACAAATCTTGTTTATTGAACCAATTTCAACCTTCCAGATTTGTCGCTGACAAATTGTAACAACTCACTATCAGTAACGATATGCTGGTAATAAATACTATATGATATTCGGAAGTTGTAACTTTTGCAAGAGAGGTTTATGCGGTTTCAGAAGCTAGATGAAACCAAGTCTTCTTGACAGTGGCGTATCTAGAAGCCTTGAATTGAGGGGCTGATGCGGGGCGGGAGGGTGAAGTGGGGGGATGCTTGATGATCAGTTGAGGGGCGCTAATTTGCAAAATATGGTGATTTTAGGGGATTTTTTGGGGGGAGCGTGGGCCCCCACGCCCTCCCCTAGATTACACCACTGCTTCTTGGACAAGGACTTAAAATAGAGGTCCAGCGTACACACCTGCTTTTGCTCTTTGAAGAACCCATTGCATTTTTTTGAAGAGTATGGGGGTTACACCAATCCTATGGTTCATTTCAGCCCCTCTAGCATGTAGCCACTATATAAGCACCTCTTAATGGCAGCTAGGTAGTCACGGACCATGCCCATAAGCAATTCAGCACAAAGAAGCTGCAAGTTATGGGTTATTCTCCTACCTCTACATTTACCTGTTATCTAGCAGATGTAAGCAAATTTCTTACCCAAGATATTTACCATCAGGGTTTTGGATATTATCCAAGGATTTGGGAACAAAACTATCTCCAGAGGTAAGAAATTATAGCGATAGGGGAACTTTTTTAAGGATGTAAACATTTCTCAGCATCAAGGAATAATATTCCTCCACTGGCAGGTTATTCATCACCACTGATATAAAATTCCTCAATAAGTTATATTATACTCTAAAATAATAATAATAATAATAATAATAGTTTCACCTGTTTTCAATGATCCTATCTACAATCTTTGAAGTTGACATATCATTGCAGCTATCAACCAACTTGAAAATACCTTTATTGGTTGGAATCTGTTGAACACATCAAAATAACACATTATCAGCATACAAGTAAGTGTTTTAAAATGTAAAATCGATATTGGCATACATGGTGGTGAAAATAAAAGAAGTACAAAGTAGGCGTGGCCTGGCGACACTCAAATTTTTTTTCAAAATTGTTCCTGAGGACAAAGCCCCCAAAAATTTTGACAATTTAAGGGTTTCAAATGCTTATTTAATTGATTTTATAGTCAACTAATATGTATAAAATAATTTTTTCTTTTCTCCTTGACAAAATGTGGTTTTTCTCCACAACAATGGCTCAGCTCTTCCCAACAGACGCCACCCCTGCACTCACTCAACCAAAACATTCACCAAACATGCTTCAACTTTGACAATATTGGAATGATTTCAGATAGAGTTGTGGCTATCATGGTTATGTCAACAAAACACTACAAATTTTTTCTAATGTATTTTCTGAGCTCTCTCACAAAGAAACTTCTCAGTGACCCATGTTGGGACAGCTTGGTGATTCCCTTTGAGTGTATGAAAAACAAACATAAAAAATTAGTAGATTTTTTATTTCAGTAAACTTTACTCATATTAGTATACTGAACAAATAAATTACTATTAAAAACTACTAAATTGTTTACTAATTTATTTATTTATTTTTTTTGTTTAAGTTAAACTAGCAACTTTATGAGTGCATTATGTCCTAATGGTTCTAGTACATGATTATGGGAACATGGCTAGGAAATAGAATGTAGATAAATAGAAATAAACTTACTTCATATGGATTTTCGCCTGTGGCAGATGGTTTGGTTGGTGTCATTCCATGAGCAACTACGTCAACCCCAAAATGGTCAAGTAGGGAATTGGTGACTGTGTAAGGAGCACCAATAACCACTTCATTTACATACTGAAAAAAATATCCCTTTATAAGTACTATTCTGTACCAATATCTCTGTATAAATTTCCATTTCAGTAAAATTATTAACTACACTACTACAGTGGTGTATCTAGGAGTGGGCAGCCTAGCGCCCCCCCTCACATTATTATCAGGCCTCTACTTCACATTCGTGCCCCTCCCCCATCACCTCCTCAATGTTAAGTATGCCACTGCACTACTAGCACCTATGTCTTGTCTGTAGTATATGTTGAGCATTTTGTATTTTTGTGAAGGAATTTCCACTTATACTGTACCAGGGGTGGGTTAACAATTTTCCCAACACTCAACAATGTTCTCCACAAGAGCATTTGTACTGTCGCTATAGAATCTGACACAAGTGGTCATCCAGGGGCGAAGTACTACTAATAAAAAAATACATATAAATGTCTTTTCTCCTGATGCATTGTGTTTTTGCTCCCAAACCTTGATTTAGCATCCTTGTGCCTAAAACACATTATATCGTCATTGCGGACTTATAAAATCCGCATACGCCTTAAAACTAAAAGAAAATGCATACTTTTGGAGTCCGTACTGAGCCCAAAAAATCCGCAATGAAAATATAACGTGTTCTAAATATAAGAACCATTTTGTACCTTTGAAAAGTTGGTACCTCAGCTCCATTATTTAGGACCACCTGGTACCTAAACAAATTCATATATTAGGATTGGAAATGCAGTAACTTAATAACTTATCCATTATATTTTACTACGGTACCATTTAGTACTAAGGGATTGGAAAGATGGTACATTTAAAAACGAATTAGGAGTTAGTTAGTTAGTTAGTTTATTTATTTGTTTCACACTCTCAGATTAAAACAGAGACCAGCTAATTATGTCTTATGAATGAAATACAGGACATTTTTAAAACCCAAGCAAAAAACATGAATAAAAATGTTTTAAAAACAGGATATACAAACATTTCTTAAAATATGATTTACTTAAACACAATAGACTGCCGTAAGGAGAGGATTTGGTAGGCAAATTTAGCTACCCTATAACAGTTAGGATTACAGCTCTAATACAAATAACCTTAGGATTAATTATTAGAAATATGTTATCTTACCCGACATGCTAACACACTTAACGTTCGTTCATGCAAGTTCATAATCGGGTAATTGCCGCACCAGTATCGATTCACTTCCTAAATAAACATAGAAAAAAGGCTAATTATTAATGAAGTAGTAATGTTCAAGTATATTCACTTAATAGAATGTTATTTTTCACTTAGCAGGATAATATAAAAACAGTAGAGCAATAAATATTATTAGTCTAAGGCTATTTTCTGACCTGGGAGATACGCCAGACGTAACTAACACCAGGTGTACATTAATCTGTGGTGTAACTAGCAAATGTTCATACTGGGTAAATAACATATGGCTACACTAGTATTAGCATGAAATATACAAATATTTTTAATCATGCATTGTTTTTCTGTTTACATCTAGACCAATTGTGATTGGTCAAATCATGGCTGGGTTCAAAATCATTGATGCATGACTGTCGCCACAACTCAGTAGCATATGCTAATCTGGTGCTGCTGGTAGATTATCGTATGCCAGTGACTGCGTCTTAATACTGGCATTTGCTATGCTGCGCACAAGTTTACAACACTTGATTTACATTACGCTAGCGTAACTTGAAATTATTAAATTCAAATCAAATGTCAAAGTCACACAAAGTGGTAACATAATAAAGTGGTCTGGCAAAGATATGTATTCTATCAAATATTTATTGCACTTTGCACAAGAAATAATGAGCTTGGAATTATATAAATGTAACTTATTATTTTTATTATTAAATCAAATGTCAAAGTCACACAAAGTGGTCATATAATGAGGTGGTCTGGCAGAGATATGTATCAAATATTTGCTGAACATATATTTGCAATTGACTAACCTCATCTGTATGCAGACCAACAATGACGTAATTCCCAAGTTTACTAACTTTCTCCAGGAAATCTACATGCCCAACATCTACATTTGGTAAATTTAAGGATAAAATTATTGCATAATAAACAGAATAGTTAACAAATATACAGTATTAAATACCACATACACAGGCATCTGATTCGTTTAAAAGCTGGTAATAACTTGTATGTAGGTTTGAATGATAGTTCATAAATTCCTGGAGTTAACTGATAGTACTTTTTTGCACTGTCGTGTTGAAAACTCTAGGCTCCACTTAAAATGTCACTGTGTATATTTATGACACGCAAGGCGGTAAAGAGGACTGTGACCTCTATGACAAGAGATTGGCACCTTTGATCACGTAGGCCTAGGAAGTAGGCTAGGCTTAGGCCTATTTTTTTGGGGGTACTCTTTTCATTCCTTTTTTAAGCCTCATACAATCTATATATGAGGTATATAAAACAAATATTAACTGCTCTAGTTTCGGGAAAGTGAAACATAGTTTCTTGGTGATATGGAGACCTAGCCTACTATCTTTCCTCGGTCCTTCAGCCCTCGGGAAAGAGTAGTAGGCAACGGTCTTCACATCACCTCAACACATTAGATTTCACCATTCCCCTCATGAGCAGTCAATATTTGTATACTATCAATTTGCAGTAGTTTAGATGGGGGGGGGGGCTGAGTTGGCTAGGGCACCCACTGAATCTGCCTATTCCAAGTGAATATAATATGACCATAAAGGATACGGAAAAGGTCAAAAGCACCAGCTGTATAAACTATCTTGTCGCCTGGGTTCGGATCCTTACCCTCAGCAAACTGAATTATCTTGTTTGTTGTTGGTAGAAACTGAGAAATACCTGTGTAAGGACTCTTCAAATTTGAGCACTGTAAGATACAAAGCATTTCATAATTCAGTCAATTTACAATGGATTTTTTCGGAGTGATACACACTAAGAATAAACAACAAAAATGACTTATTTCCAGCGGAATCCTTCTGGTGGTGATTGGGCAGTGCACCGGGAGACAATCCCCTACTATTTTCAGAAGAGTGTACTGTGGTTTTGAACGTGTACGTGGGCCATATTGCACACAGGACCAACGGCCTATTCATCTCATATGAAAGATGGTGCGCTTTTAAAACTTGCATTTCAGCCCTGCAGCTGAAGCACAAGAGAGCAGCAATAGAATTTGAACCGGGATCCAAGAGATCTCCAAGGTTCAGCGCATATGCAGTGGCTACGATCAAAGAACTTAAATAGCAGAAGAATGAGCTGCTCCGCGTATTTGCATTAAAATCGATGGAACATTCGCCCTCCTGCGGTTGCAGTAAAATTTGAACATTTTACTAAGTGGAGAAACTAAAGGAAACAAACGAACAAGAGCAGCGCCTTTATTATTACTATAGAGCGCCGCCGTGCGGATGAGGTAAAATTGCTCTCCG